TGAACAAGGAATTGTATAACTGTTTGGAAGAGTGGGGTGCCACGAACCCTGAGAATCCTTGCGTGTTCTTGCTGGGTGTGCCAAGAAAGCAAGACCATGGTGGCCATTACCCAGGCCTTTTTTTTGTTTGTTTCCAAGTTCAAATGTTTTAAAAGAGGCTGAGGTCGTTTTGCTAGCCAGCCCTCCACCCATCATTTCTCGCTCTCTTCAGCAATACTTCTCTTCACTTACGGCTTCTTAGCCACCTTGCTCTACATCAGCAGCGTCTCACCTCGGCCGGCCTGCGCCTCGCGTATACCAGTGTGCTCGTAGGTGGACACACTCTGGCTGGAACAGGAGGCAGAGGTACAGATGGGCAAGGATGGTTTATTATGGACAAATGGTAGAAAAGATGTTTTAACATTCGTAGGTCTAGTTCTTCAGGTCCTATGTATGGAGAGAAGTTATTGAAAGCTTGCTTAGTCTTTCTGCTGAATCAGGCACTAGCTACCAGACATAGCTAGGGGCCTTTGTGCGTTCTGGACGCTAGCACAGACGGCTCTGCCTTACCGATAACCGTGATGAACTAGCGATAGTCCCAGTGGGATAATCGTGTGTAGCTGTTCAGGCGATCAGGAACACTCCTACTGCTTTGCCTCAGCTTTTAGTTCTTGGTTGTATCTCCAAATGCGAAAGAGCTGGGGGGCTCCTGCAGCCCCCACAAAGAAATTAACAGCAGACTCCAATTTTTTGGAATAATTCCAAGTGAGTTATTGACCAAATAAGCCCTGTGGCCATCAGGACAGTGGACTGAGCCGTGGCGAGTTTTTCTGCAGGACCCGCCATGTCAGCCGGGCCGGCACACACCAGGCCCCCATTTCATAATTGGAGCCAGAAAAAAACTGTTCTGGGACCTGCCGGATGTTTGTACAGCGGCCTCAGCTTCTCGGGCAGCATCAGCTCCACTCTATCCATGAGGCGGTGGTAGGTGGCCCGCAGACGCAGGCGCCGGCGCCGGACATCCCAGCCTGGCAGACAAGAGGCAGCACCTCAGCCTCCACCCGCGGCAGCCTACCAGGGGCTTTGCCTGCCCACAGCCAGCCACTGGGCCAGCTCCCAGCCTCGCAGAGGGGCCGGACTCCATCTGTCCCACACCGGTCCGCCCGGCCCTGCCCTTCACTAGGCTCGAAGGCTGTGGGAGCAGCAGGTGCCCAGCCGGCGTCAGTGAGCCCGCCCAGCGCCCCTACACAGGCCATTTTGGGGGCTTGTGTTTGCAGCGAAGAATCTTTGAGGGACCAGGTAAGAGAACAGGTGTGCTCACCACGCACGATGAAAGCAGCGACTCCCATCCGTGTTCCTCTTCTGTAACGCCACCACGGACATCCACGATAGGCTCTCCTGGGAGCGTGCAGGGAACCCACACAAGCAAAGACGAAACTCTAGCTGCTGTTTTTACAAAGTAAATAAAGCCCTTTGTCTCCTACCTGCAGCTTTATGTTGTCTGCCAGCACCCGTGGACATAACCGGTTAGTTTATTAGTTTGAAAGTAGGGCAAAATCTCTGATGCTGTGCAGTTCGTGACAATGACATGTGAAGAGGAGATTAATGCTACAAGAAAATGGAGCAGAAACAGAAAAGGGGGATAGAAGGTATTGGTGGACTTGCCATTGTATTTATTTTATTGAGTTTGCTATAGGCATATGCACTCACTGGAAGAGGAGGGGTGTGAGAAATCACCCCGCACACATGTCTGGCATGATTATCAAGCCTCCAGGTCTGGGACTTGAACTGCTCAGTAGATCATGGGGATCCAGACACCTTAATCCTCATGCCACCTGCTGGCCCAGATCTGCTATTTCAGATAGGCTCGCTAAGAAAGGACCCTCGGACAACGAGGCACGGAGCTGAAACATGAACAAACAGCCATGAAACTGTTTAGAGTAACAGCATTTCAGCCAGAGGGAGCAGCAGAGGCACAGGCCCCGAGGTAGGAGCACACTTAGTATAGCCGAGGAACAGCCTGGTAGCCGGCATGGCTGGAGTGGGTGTTAGAGGGTGAAGAGCAGAGGATGAGGGACCAGCAGTTAGCGTAATGGCTATGTCGCTGGACTCCCACATAGTTGACTGCGGTTCGAGTCCTGGACCCGGTGGCTTAAACTCATGCCGGGTGCGTGTGTGTGCGTGCCCAAGATCCCAAGAGGGGAATGGAGGAGAAGGGATTGTGGCGTGGCCATCCCCCCTGGGGGGTGATTTCTCGCTTTCTATCTCTCTGTCTCTGTCTGTCTGGCGAGCGCACGCGCCCTATAGCAAAAACCTCTCCAAAAAAAAAAATTTTAAAAAAAAAGAGCAGAGGATGAGGCCAGAACACAGGGTCTTTTTTTTTTTTTTTTTTTTGAGAGACTTTCACTGTAGGGCGCGTGTGCTCGCCAGACAGACAGAGAGAGACATAGAGACAGAAAGCGAGAAATCACCCCCCAGGGGGGATGGTCATGCCACAATCCCTTCTCCTCCATTCTCCTCTCGGGATCTTGGGCACGCACGCACACGCGCTCGGCGTGAGTTTTAAGCCACCGGGTCCGGGACACGAACCACGGTCGACTACGTGGGAGTCCAGCGACATAGCCATTACGCTAACTGCTGGTTCCCAGAACACAGGGTCTTGAAGGTCTTGCAAGGTCATGTGAGGCAGCCCACTGAGATGGGAACCACTGGCATCTTTAGACCAGAGAAGTGTTCTGCTGATTTCCATTTTTAAAAAATAAACATTTAATTGCATTTATTATTCTTCAATTGGACCAGAGAGAGTGAGAAAGCAAGCCACCAGATCTGGGACTTGAACCATGGTCAGCCACGTGGGAGTCCAACACCTTAACCACCACACCACCTGCCAGCCCCCTGATTTCCATTTTAATAGACCGACTCTGATTGCTGTGTGGAAAATAGCCATATCCTTGCAGACCAGGGTGAAACCAGAGAACCAGGGAGAAGGTGTTACGACAGTCCAGATGACAGATGACAGTGGCTTGGTCTTGTCACAACAGTGGAAGTGACGGGAAGCAGTCAACTTCTGGATATATTATAGGAATCACTCAGCACTCGCTGAAGGTTGTGAAGAAGAGTCACAAATGACCCTGAGGTTTTGTTCTGAGCAGCTGTGAGGATGGAATTGGCTGCGATGGAGAAGACACAGAAGCGGAGGCCTGGAGGGAATCAGCAGTACTGTGAACAGCGTGAATGAATGAATCCCTAGAAACCTTTTTCTGGACTGGGACAGAAGGCCTGCCCAGCCAGGATCTAGCTGCCTGGGGCCAGTTCTGGATGGCCCTCTCAGAAAAGGAGGTTGAGGGAGAAACAGTTAATGTTCCCCAAATACCACAGGGATAAAAAAGGGTCACCTCAGTGTCTTGCTGGTGCCTTAGATATTTTAATTACGAAGGCACAGCTAAAACTCCCAGGTGCTTTAGATATTCTTTCTCCCCCTCCCTTTTCTCTTCCCAAGTTATCAATAGTTGGTCCTTTCTTGGGACCAACAGATGACATAATGGTTACTATTCCCACGTAGTTGACTACAGTTCGAATCTCAGATCCGGTGGCTTAAAACTCACGTTAAAACACATACCGGGTGAGTGCTTGCCCACCAAGATCCTGAGAGAAGAATGGAGGCGAGGAATTGCAGTGTGGCCATGCCCCATGGAGGGGGGGTGATTATGCCCCCTGAGGAAGATTATTTCTTGCTTTCTGTCTGTCTTCCCCCCCCCCGGGGGGGGGTTATCCTCTCTGTCCCTCCAGCAAGTGCATGTACCCTATACCCAAATCTCTTACAAATTAAAAAAAAAAAAGTTGGTCCTTTCTAGACTTCACTGTAGATAGCTGACCACGTATCTCCTAAGTTTTGTCTTCAGACATAAAGATCGTAACATCCATCCATCAACAGCACGGCGGAACCAGTCCGGTGAACAGGGCGATCGAAGGATCTGCACAGAGGATAAAGAGACAGACACAAAAGCATGAGACGAGGGGACTCAGAACCTCAAGGGTTCAGAGTCCAGGCGCTTTATTTTGCAGACTATTTATACCACCTTAAGCAGGGAGTGGGGTGAATGTTTCCATATGCTACAGTGAGAAACAGCAGGCTCTTAAAGAAAAATTAACTCGTGCAGGGCATTATTGCTACCTGGGACAAACGGTCCTTATGGCTCTTGGCAGGGACATGGTAGACATTCTTTCCTGCTGGGTCTGTCCTGAGACTAACGACCCGCATAGTTTTCCATGCCGCCCTCAGTCCAGTGTTCCCAACGTCCTGCTCCAAGACTGTCCCAGTTGGCTGTTACGTGATATGTTTCTGCATTCGATCTTATTTTTCTCTTGTTTACATCCTTGTTCTACTCTATGTTCCCAGCACACCAAAACTAAAGACAGGATACATGGCAGGCTACAGTAGCCAGATATGACATCTAGAGATGACAATGAAGCAGCCCAGTGTGTCCCAGGATCACCCTAATTGCCCTACCACATAACCCCCTTTCCTTAAGTCCCAATAAAAGCTCCTGGCCCTCACCCTTTGGGGCCAGTGCAATTCCCTGTATCTGGCCCCTTTCTGCTATCAGAAAGTGAGTAAATTCTTTTCTGCCCTCTTTTCTTTCTGAGTTTGAATTCTTTCACAGCCTGTGACCAGGACTACCCAAACATATTGCAGAGATCACCCTAACAGAGGGCAGCAATGGTTTAGTTGGTAAGGGGGCCAGATCCCTTGGCTGAGTGCGGTTGCAAACCCAACCCCACAGTTGGAAAAACACCCCAGGCCCATAAGCCTGTGTGCCCCAACCCAAATCCCAACAGGATAGAGAAATAGAGAAGAGATTGCAGCGAGACCACATCCCATTGGGAGGTGCTTTCTCTCTGTCTCTCCCTGTCAAGCGCTGGTGTCCTCAGGCCAAATATTTTTTCTAAAGGAGGCAGGGGTTCCTTTAAGATAACCCCGCCCACCCACAAAGCCCCGCCCCAAAGGGACCCTGTACTTTGCCGCCGTGCTAAGGGGCGGGACTCCTGGCGGTTTGAAAGTCGCGCGCGCACTTCGGTAGTGACTTTTCCGCTTGCAACTGGGATGTCGGTGTTGCGGCCTCTGGACAAGCTACCTGGTCTGAACACGGCCACTGTCTTGGTAAGTGCCAGCGGCCCCGCTCTGACCCTCGGCCGCTCAGGCCTCTGCGTTCCCGGAGCTGCCCGCGCGCGCTATTCCGGTGGAGGAGGGAGGCGGGAGAAGCAAATCCTGAACCAATCGAAGTGGTCGTTCTGTTAGGCGGAGTGACACACCCACCAATCGGTGCGTGGCGAGCTCTTTCCCAGCCTCTGATTGGTGGAGTTGGGGCGGGGTGTCCGGGTTGAGGTGCGCGTCCCGGCGTGGTCTTGGTTTTCTCACTGGGCAGGATCCCTCCGGGCGAGACTAGGACGATCGGGCAGGGCGGGTGCATAGTAAGCGCGGTGCCGACGGGCCTGGAGCGGGTCCGCTCTGGTCCCCCGGGGAGTGGCTCTGAGTGCCAGGCACTGCAGAGGGACTGCTATGCCCAGGCCCCAGCCAGTCTCCCTCTCTCTCTGAGCAGCTGGTGGGTACGGAGGATGCTCTTCTGCAGCAACTGGCGGACTCAGTGCTCCAGGGGGACTGCGCCTCCGAGCTGAGGGTGTAAGTACCGAGGTTGTGGCCTGACCTGGCTGGGGGATGAGAGGAGGCGGGCGGGGGAGCGCCGAGATCCATCGCAGGTTGGACGTGTTGGCCAGCTCCCTGAGCCCCTTTCTGTTGCATAAATCCTGGTACCGCATTTTAAAGAACCTCGAAGTGTAATCTTTTTCCTCTAAATAAAGACTGTTCATAGTAGGTCTGTCTGCTTCACCTCCCTCATCAGGCTCCCAGGCTACGTTACCTCGGACACAATAACCAACTGTCTAAAACCCATAGCTCAGAAATGGAAAGCTTTTTGGTGTTTTGTTTTGTTTTGTTTTTGCTATAGGGCAGACACACTAGCCAGAGAGAAAGTGAGAGAGCACCGTCCAAGGGGAATGGCCAACTGCAGTCCCTTCTCTAGTCTCCTCTTGAGATATTTACAAGCTGGCACATGAGCTGGGCATGTTTTTCAATCCACCAGGTCTAGGACTCCAACCATGCAGCTGGTTATGTGGGAAGCCAGCTGCCATAACCAGGAAAGGATTTTCCTTTTTTAAGAGAGATTTTTGCTATAGGACACCTGCCTTGCCAGACAGAAATCAAGAAGTCATCCCCCACCCGATGGCCATGCCTCAGTCCCTTCTTGTCCAGTCTCCGGATTTTGGACACACACGCACACGTGCCCGTGTGTTTTAAGCTGCCGGTCCAGGACTCAAACCACAGTGGACTGGGGCAGACAGGTGACATGATGGTTAAGGGCGCTGGACTTCTACATGGCCGACCATGGTTGGAGTTCCTGATCTGGTGACTTGCTTTCTCGCTGTCTCTCTCTCTTTCTGTCCCTCTCTGGACAAGTTAAACTAAATAATAAATAATTAAAGTTAAATAAAATAATTCTTTTTTTAAAAAAGCCTGCAGTTGACTACATGAGAGTCCAGTGACATAACCATTACACCATCTGCTGTTACCCTGGGAAAGGATTCTTAAAAATTTACTTTAGTTGGGGCTGTCAGGTAACATGGTGGTGAAGGTACTGGACTCCCACACGGCTGACTGTGGTTCAAGTACTGCACCTGGTGGCTTGCTTTCTCACTTTTTCTCCCTCTCTTCCTCTCTTTCTCCCTCTCTCTCTCTCTCTCTGTCCCTCTCTAGTCAAATCAAAGTAAATAAATAAATAAAATTAAATAAAAATAATTCTTTAAAAAAAAAATCCCTTATGGGGGGGGGAAATCCCTTGGTGCCAGCAGGTGGCATGGTGGTTAAGGTGTAGACTTCCATATGTTCGACCATGGTTTGAGTCCTGGACCTGGTGGTTTGCTTTCTCACTTTCCCTCTCTATCTTTCTCTGGTCAAATTAAAAAGTAATAATAAGAAATAAAATAAAATAAAAAATCATTCTTTCATTAAAAAAAAGAAAGAAACAATCCTTCAGGGCCAGCAGGTGGCGTGGTGGTTTAGATGCTAGATGTGACAAAGCCAACTCTCAGGTTCGAGTCTGGACCTGGCAGCTTGAAAAATGTGCCAGGTGCATGTGCATGTGTGTGCAAAATCCCAAAAGGAATTGAATGAAGGAAAAGAGATTACAGGGTGGCCATCCCTCTTGGGTGACTTCTCACTTTTCCTTTCTCCATATCTGTTTCCAGTGAGTGTACATGTGCCTTATGGCAAAAAATTTTTTAAAGAATTATTTTATTTATTCATTCATTTATTTTAATTTGACCAAAGAGAGAGAGAGAGAGAGAGAGAGAGAGAAAGTGTGAAAGCAAGCCGCCAGATCCAGGACTTGAACCATGGTCAGCCATGTGGGTGGGAGTGTCCAGCACCTTAACCACCATGCCACCTGTTGGTCCCGGCAAAAAAAAATTTTTTAAGAATTATTTACTTATTTAATTCCATTTGTTTTGTTTTTTTTTTTTTTCTTTTCTGTTTGTTTGTTTGACCAGAGAAAGAGAGAGAGAGAGAAAAGGAAAGTGAGAAACCAAGTTACCAGGTCCAGGACTTGAACCAAGGTCAGCCATGTGGGAATCCAGCACTCCTAACCATCATGCCACCTGCTGGCCCTCTATGCCAAAAATCTTTTTGTTGTTGTTGTTGTTTTTGTTTTTTAAAAAAGGAAAAAAAAAAAAAGAATCCCTTATTGGGCCAGCCAGGTGGCATGGTGATTAAGGAAGTTGGATCCCACACCGCCAACCAGCCATGTGGGAATCCAGCACTCCTAACCATCATGCCACCTGCTGGCCCTCTATGCCAAAAATCTTTTTGTTGTTGTTGTTGTTTTTGTTTTTTAAAAAAGGAAAAAAAAAAAAAGAATCCCTTATTGGGCCAGCCAGGTGGCATGGTGATTAAGGAAGTTGGATCCCACACCGCCAACTATGCAGTTAAAGTCCCAGACCCAGTGGCTTGAAAATCAGGCCAGGCACATGTGCGTGTGTGTGTGTGTGTGTGCATGCCCAAAATCTGCAGAGGAATTGAATGGAGGAGAAGGGATTGTGGTGTGGCCATCCCCCCAGGGGATGATTTCTCACTTTCCCTTTCTCTCTTGGTGATTATTTGACAATGAGAAACCAAGTCCAGGTGAGAATGACTTGCCCAAGGTCACTTAGGAACTGGGACTGAGTCTATATCTCTTTTCCTCCAAGGGTTCAATCTTACCCCCAAAACTTCCTTGTGAGCCTGGTCTTTCCTCATCACGCAGTGTAGTTGGCCAGCCCTCTGCCATCTTATATCCAACCTCTCTCGCCAAGGTGGTTACTAAGCTTTGGAGCCCCTTCCCGGCAGAGGGAACCGGAAGTGATCTGGACAGGACCAGCTCTGAGCTCACCCAAGGAGTCTTGCCACAAGAGTGTCGGATGAGTATGTGAGGAGCCCTCGACAGCCTCTTCCCCTGTGAAGGACAGTATGCAACTGATGACCGTGAGGAGGGTAGGCATGTCATTAGTCATGCAATTTCTTGTTTTTCAGCCACTTGGCAAGGACCCTCCCCCTGCCCTCCAGTGTGAATCGGCCCCGAATTGACCTGATCGTGTTTGTGATTAATCTTCACAGTAGATACAGGTGAGAGCCGGAGCTGTCGGCTCAGGCAGACCTGGCCTGGGAGTGGGTTGCATTGGGAGCTCACTTGTGATGTAGAGAAGAGACAAGGAGAGGCCACGTACAGTCAACTAGAGGGTGAGGAGGGAAGAGCCAATGATCATACACAATGTTAAAAGACACTGATGGGGTAAGCCCATGATGTGAGGGTTAAGGCAGCTAGGTCTCACAAGGCCGACTGTGGTTCAAGTCCCTGACCTGGTGTGAAAATCACACTATGCATGCATGCCTAAAAACCCAAAAGAACAGAGAAACCGGAGGAAAAGGGATTGTGACATGACCATTCCCCATGGGGGTGATTTCTCACTTTCCCTCTCTGTCTCTGTCTCCCTGGTGAGCAAACACACCTTATTTCATATTTGAAAATAAATAAATAAGTAAACAGAGACATTGGTACGTCCTGACAGTGTCAGCTGTTCCTTGAGCTAATGCTCTCTGAGGCCTTTTCTGCACCCCTGAGAGCAGGCACAGACTTGCATGAAACAGACCCTTGTCCTCAAGATGCTGCTAGCCCACCTGCGGAGGAGCTGGACTGAGTGACCGTTGCAACACCTGGGGTATGACTGCACAGAGCTGCGGCAAGCCCACAAAAGGCCTCCGGTGGCCAGGACTTAAGCATGGAAGGCCAGGGCAGACTCGCCAGTGGGAGTAACATCTGAACTGAGACCCGAGCGATGAGAAGTTAGGCAGGTGAAGATGTGAGTGAGTCCCTCCTGGAGGGCCGCTGAGGGTAGGCAGGGCTCAGGATCCAGCAGAGGCCAAGACAGATTGCTGGTCACGTGGACCCAGTGGCTTAAACTCACACCGGGTGCGTCTGTGTGCATGCCCAAGATCACGAGAGGAGAATGGAGGAGAAGGAATTGCAGCATGGCCATCCCCCCCCGGGGGGGGGTGATTTCTCACTTTCTGTCTCTGTCTCTGGCGAGCACACACGCCCTAAAGCAAAAACCTCTAAAAAAATTTATTTAACTTTATTTATTTTAATTATTATTATTTTAAAAATTTTTACTTATTCATTCATTTATTTTTAATTTGACAGAAAGAGACACAGAGGCAGAGAGAAAGAGGGGAGAAGTGAGAAAGCAAGGCATCAGGTCCAGGACTTGAACCATGGTCAGCCATGTGGGAGTGTCCATCACCTTAACCACCATGCCACCTGCTGGTCCCGACCATGATGACTTTTGACCAAGAGACAACCGATTCCTTCATCAGCCCTTGGACACCAGTGAATGAAAGGCTGGTGGTCGGTCAGAGGATCCCTTGTTTGGAGAGGGAAAAGATCTTTTCCTTTAATTGGCTAGAGGGCATTTGTGTGCACCAGAGAGAGACAGAGAGACACAGGGGGCAGTGAGAAAGCACCCCACAGCACCCCACCACCCCCATGGGAGATGGTCATGCCACACAATCCCTTCTCTTTCATTTCTCCTTTTGGGAGTTTGTGTGTGCATGCACATGTGCCCAGCATATTTTAAAAATCATTTATTTATTTATTTACTTTTATTTGCTATTATTTTTTTAATTTGACCAGTCAGAGACAGAGAGAGAGAGCGAAAGGAAAAGCGCGAATGCAAGCCACCAAGTCCAGGACTTGAACTGCGGTTGGCCACACGGGAATCCAGCACCTTTAGCCACCACTCCACCTGCCAGCCCCAACCCAGTGTATTTTTTAAGCTGCCGGGTTCGGGACTTGAACTATGTGTTTGGCCAAGTGGTATCCAGCTGCCTTAACCATCATGCCACCAGCTGGCCCTCTATAAAAGGTGTTTAATGGGAAGATTATGCGTTAGAGAATGTTCATACTGCGCTCTTCGGAACAGTGAACACTGGAGATCACGTAGACCCCCATCCCTGGGAAAATACCCACTGAGGTATGCTGTGCACCCTTCCAAATCCTGTGACAGATCCCTATATACCGATAAGGGTGTGACAGTATTTGGGACCCGACTGCATGCTTAAACATACCACAGTCTGTTTGCATCCGAAACAAATTCTAGGAGAATAAAGCCCCAAACTACTGGCAGGTGTTTCCTCTGAGGAGCTAGAGTCAAGGGTGGTGCAAAGAAAGGGGACTTTATGTACGCGGCCATATTTCCTATTTGTTTATTTCATAAACATAATTCGCTTTATAATTAAAAGTACTCTAAAACAAAAAACTAGAGTTGGGCACAGTGATGCACACCTGTAATCCTAGCTACTCAGGAGGATGAGGCAGGAAGACCATGAGTTCGAGTCCAGCCCAAGCAACATAGCAACATCGCCTCCGGGGTGGGGGTGGGGGGTTAAAGGACAAGATATCCTTCCAGGACTGTTTCCTCTTACCTTTCTAATTCTCGGGCCGCGCTGGGACCAGGAGAGCAGGACTTCCGCTTCCTCTGCTATAAAGTTCTGTCCTCTGGTTTGTTTTCTTCCTCCATTCTCACTACAGCCTGCAGAGCATAGAGGAGTCCCTGCACCATGTCGATGCCAGCTTCTTCCTGGGGAAGGTGTGCTTCCTTGTCACAGGGGGTAAGTGTGACCCTCACCTGCCACTGCCCAGCCCCAACCGAGGGAGAGCCATGGCGGTTGCGGGCGCGGGCTTTGGAATCGACCTATCCTCAGTCTTTGTAGAAGGGAATCTGAGCAGGTAGTTCTGTTGCTTGAAGCCTAATGGCTCCTGTGGCTTTGAGAGTAAAATCCAAGCTCCTCTAAAAACAAAGTACTTCAAAGTTTGGCCTCTGCCTTGTCTGGTCCCAGCTCCTATGCTGACATTCCTTAGGGCAGTTGATAGTGCTCTGAAAAAGTCCTGCTGTTCCCGAGACTGTAATATTAACAGTAGACACAATAATAACTGATCTCTATGGAGCTCACACTGAGCACAAGGCACTGTGGTTGCTTTGTTTCTTATGTCACATTGATCCGGTCTTTAAATTTGCTATACAGCACATGACTCACTGGACAGAGGAGAGGGAGAGTGAGAAAGCACTCCCCGGAGGGGATGGCCATACCATAATGCCTTCTCCTCCATCTCTCCCTCCCTTGGGATGTTGGATGTTGGATGTCATACGTGCCCAGCATGATTTTCTTTTTTAAGAATTATTTATTTGCTTAATTACCATTTGTTGTTATTTTTATTATTATATTTTAATTTGACCAGAGAGAGACAGAGAGAAAGGGAAAGTGAGAAAGCAAGTCACCAGGTTCTGGACCCAAACTGCAGGCAGCCATGTGGGAATCCAGTGCCTTTAACCACCATGCCACCTGCTGGCCCCACCCAGCATGATTTTTTTTTTTTTTTTTGAGAGATTTTCACTATAGGGCGCGTGCGCTCGCCAGACAGAGAGAGAGAGAGACATAGAGACAGAAAGCGAGAGATCATCCCCCAGGGGGGATGGTCACGCTGCAATCCCTTCTCCTCCATTCTCCTCTCAGGATCTTGGGCACGCATGCACACGCACTCAGCGTGAGTTTTAAGCCACCGGGTCTGGGATGCGAACCGTGGTCGACTATGTAGGAGTCCAGTGACATAGCCATTATGCTAACTGCTGGTTCCCCCCAGCATGATTTTCAAGCCACTGGATCTAGGACTTGAACTACGCAGTCAGCTATGTGGGATCCAGCTGCCCTAACCACTAGGCTACAGACTGGCTCTACCGTCCTCATTCTGTGCATTAGTAGGTTCATACTATCTGTGGAGCCTCCTCTCAAAGCCTTCAGTCTTGTTATCTGATGTGCTAATCTAGACTGTCCAGAGAAGAAGGAACCCCACTGACTTGTAAGACACTGAGACCCAAGGGGCGTGAATTAGCACGTGTCACATAATGACATTTCGGTCACTGACCACAATATGACGGTAGCCTCCTAAGACTGGGACAGGCTACACCACCTAGGTCTGTGTAGAGAAGGCGTGGCCGTGCAGCTCGCGTAGCACATGTGATGTCCGCACAGAGAACAATGGCCCAGCAGCCCCTTTCTTAGAACTTCCCTCATCACTCAGTGACGCGTGACTGCTGTGCCCGGTACTTCCTGGTGACAGCCATGAGGTGGAGATGACAGCTTATGACACTCACGGTTTCTCTGCAGCTGGGCGGGAGAGCCACTGCAGTATCCACCGGAACACTGTTGTGAAGCTGGCCCAGACCTACCGAAGCCCCCTGCTCTACTGTGACCTGGAGGTGAGGACCCCGATCCCGGTGGCTGACGTTACGCTCGGTGCAGGGAAGGGGCATTCAGACACAGCGGGCAACCAGGGGTGTTTAGTGAACGGCCAGCCAGTCTCTGTGCAATAGAGGAGACACAAGAGCCTGGTTTGAATCCTGGCTTTCTGCTCACTGGCTGTGCCCTTGGGTGGGCCACCCTAAGCTGTGGGGTACCCAAGTATAAAGTGGGGGTGATATGCATTCATCTAGAGTCTTTCTCTCTCTCTCTCTTTTTTATTTTTTCTTTTTAGGAGAAGTTTTTGCTATAGGGCATGTGTGCTCACCAGAAAGAGAGACAGAAAGCAAGAAATCACCCCCCAGGGGGAATGGCCACACCTCAGTCCCTTCTCTTCCATTCTCCTCTCAGGATCTTGGGCACGCACGCACATGTGCCCGGCATGAGTTTAAGCCACTGGGTCCAGGACTCCAACCGCAGTCGACTATGTGGAAGTCCAGATATGTAGCCATTACGCCAACTGCTGGTCCCTTTTTTTCTCTTTTTTTTTTTTTCTTTTTCTGGTTATTTTTAATATCCTTGTTTTACAGATAAGGGAACCGAGTTAGAGAGGTAGATGACTAGGATGGTGGCATAGAGCTAGAGAGAT